GGCGGCCCGCGGTACCGACCCGCCCGCCGCTCCCCGCGCCTCCCGCGCCCCAGCACCCGCTGCACCTCCCCCTCCCTGCTTGTTCAGTCGCTTCCTGAGCCACTTTTAAACTTTCCGTGGGGTGTTTTTCTCGACTGGTCTTAACTCGCACGGCTGGTTTAAATTTTCAAGTTTAAGTTTTCAGGTTTTTTTTCTCACTGTTGTTTTCGACTCTTGTTGGCAGTTTGGAAATAAGAATCCTAGAGGGCTCAGCTCTGAGAGAGGAAAATCTTGAGCCGCTCGCCTGTGGTTTTGGGCACCGATTTGGGTTGGAAAGGGGGAAACCTGGGAGCCGGCTGGGGAGCGACTGCTCTTTCTTGGTGGGTTCTGTGGGTGAAATGCCGGAGGAGCGCGGGTCCCTCCGCGCCCTCGGGCTGTTGACACGGCCACTCGGCTCCTCGTTTGATGCAGTAATTAGCTGCTGGCGTGAAAGCAGAGAGTGCCTCTGCTCCCTTGGAATGCATGCTGACCGGGAGAGATACGGCTTTAATTAGCAACCGGGAGTAAAAGTCTGGTCGTTATAAACTCGGGCTGCTCTCCCCTTCGTTAACAAGCACATCCTTATCCCAGCTTTATTAACAAGTTCACCCATCTCCCTCTCAGTGCTTCCCTGGTGGTTTCCTCCGCTGCTTTTTATTTTCACCGATGATTTTCAAAACTTAAAACTCCACAGTTTTCACTCTGAACAACGTTAAAGTTTCCCTGCTCTTTTTGGCAGTAGTTTTCCCACAAAAACACTTCAAAGCCCCATAATTTTGGGAAACATACTCCATGAAAACCAGTTCCCAGGGCGGGCTTGAGAATAAATCCAGGCAGCACCGTTGCTCCTAGGGATGCTACCATGTAAAGAATTAAGCTGGTAATTAAGTCAGTAACAAATCTGTGGTGCCAGCTGACTTTATGGTTTCCATATCTGCATCATCCATGAGAGTTTTGGGGTGGTTTGAGCAACTTAAATCACTCGTTTCAGTTTTACTGTTTCAGGGGTTTGGGTTTGCAGCAACTTCAGGTTAAGCCGAAGTGTTGTGTTAAATCTTCTGGCAAAGTTTAGCTCAATTTAGGCAAGAAAATAAAAAACCCCTTTGAGCAAGCAAAATACTGAGTGTTTCAACCTTGTAAACATTTAAGAGGTGGCTGAAGTTCTGTTGCTCTAGCACTTCATATTTTTATTTTGCTAATAAAAGTGTTTGCAGAGATGAATGGAAATGGATTTCCAACCTGGTGAGTTCCACGGTTTGGGGTAAGGCCGTGTGGGTTGCAGGCTTCCCTCAGCCCTGTTTGGTGTCAGGTGAGGGCCATTTTGTGTTATAAAACACGAGGTAAAAGAAAATATTTGAATTCTCCACCCCTGAACTCGAGGAACCACGATAGGAACTGTAAATAAACAGGACTGGGGGGGACACACGACACAACGCACCTGCCAGGCTCGTGGTTCCCAATAATCTTTGCACCTTGTCCCGGGACAGGATTCCTCTTTGAAAGCAGCAAAACATGACTTTCCTGAGTGCTTTATTTGTCTCCAACTGCATTAATTCCTGAAAGCTGAATAACTGTTGTTGTTGTATTATCTGATGGTTCCCTGAGTGTGACTTCAGGGAAGGTGACCAGCAATTAGCTCAATTACAGCCGACAGCAAAGCTGGTGTCAGCGTGAATCCCGTTTCTTTTTAGAGGAAATCAGGATTGTGCTTTGGTTGGAGACCAGTGCAGGGAGGAATTGATCTCACCTGGTTGTTCCCCTGCTTCTAGTTACTCTTTTTTTTGGTTATTTTTGATCTTCCATGCATTGGTCAAGAGGAGCTGTAACCAAATGTATGTAACCAAACATCCCCTGCTACGATTTTGTGATGTTTTGGAACAGTTTCTCCCAAGTAAACTTTATAGTCGGGTAATGATCTACTGGCAACTGGTGCTTGGAGCCAGTTCAGGAATGTGAACCATTTGTTTGCAGGAAGATATTTCACCTTAACCCCACGCAGAATCCCAAGGGCTCTGAGGAGGAGGAGCCTGGGCACAGCTCTCCCTGTGAAAATGGGGTGAAACTGGGGGGATTTGGGGCAGTGATGGTGCTTAGTGTCGGTGTTCCTGGGATCTGGTGGTGAATGGGGGGATAAAGGCCCATGCCAGCCCTTGGTAGTGAGGGGGGTGGTGTGTGAAATGATATTTTCTCCTTGTGAAGGCAGCAGGGTTGTTGCCTTCCTAAATACAGAAGGGGCAGAAGAACAGGATAGCATCTCTTGGGGGGGAGGTAGGGGCAAGGGGATTGACTTGGGAGGGGCCTGCAAACCCATATTCCCCCTAGGAAGTGTCAGATTAGGGATGTTAACGTGTGCAGGGAAGGAAAAACAAGTGGTGGGAACTGTTAGGAGGGGTTTGTGTCACTTCCAGGCTCATCTCATGCCCCCTCCACCTGGAATTTGGGAAGGAATAGTGTCCAGCTTTGACCAAAGCAGTGAGTGGGGGAGGAATCTGTCCCAGATAGTGCCCGAGGATGAGTTGCAGTCCAGGGTTTAATCTGATTTTTGAGCTTTCTTGCCATGAAAAGCAGGAAAACAAAGTGTCCGTGAACTTGCAAGGGAGTAGGGGGGGGGAGTTTGGGAGTGTCACTGGATAGTGGGTGTTTTAAAGCTCTCTGCCATCGAAACCCTGAAGCTTTTGACACTCTTGGCAGCCTCACTGGGGCTTGGGGCTGGGATTAGTGGAATTCAAAGAGCGGCTCTGCAGAGAGGA